AGACTTGTGGACTCTGGGAGAAGGCGAGGGTGGGATGTTTCAAGAGAACAGCATTGAAACATGTATATTATCTAGGGTGAAACAGATCACCAGCCCAGGTTGGGTGCATGAGACAAGTGCTCGGGCCTGGTGCACTGGGAAGACCCAGGGATTGGGTGGAGAGGGAGGTGGGAGGGGGGACCGGGATGGGGAATACATGTAAATTCATGGCTAATTCATTTCAATGTATGACAAAAACCACTGCAATGATGTAAAGTAATTAGCCTCCAACTAATAAAAATAAATGGAAAAATAAATAAATAAATGGAAAAATAAATAAATAAATGGAAAAATAAATAAATAAAAGAATATAATCAGAGATGTAGACAAGTTTTCAATGCTATGATGTACATTAAATATTCCAGAGTTACTCAGTATAGTTAGAACTGAAAATAACATAAATGTCTAACAATGAAGGAAAAATGGTAAATTATGATATATTCATACAATTCACTCATTCCACAAATACTTATGAGCACCTGCATAATGCCGGAAACTGTTATAGGCCTGGAGATTCAAGAAAGAAAAACCCCATTGTGGAATTTATGGATCACTGAAGATCAAGCTTTCAAAGAATAATGACAAGAAGGAAATGCATTACAGTGTTATGAAACAAAATTATATAAACAATATGATCTTAATTTTGCTTAAAAAATTATTTACCCTTAACAAAGGTAATGGGTAAATACATGCAAGATAAATATTGGTTGTTTTTAAGGGATAAGATTTTGGATGATCTTTAAATTCTTTGTATTTTTGCATTTTCCATCTTAGAATCACAATTATTTATAAATTATTTTAAATGACATTTTGAAACTAATTTCAGTTGTACTTAAAAATGCTCACAGAAAATTTTAAATGAAAAATAACAGACCACTGAAGTATATAGCCTCTATGACCTCCCCTTCATTATGTCATGTATATAATAGAAATATAATGAAAAGGAAAGACATAAAAACGGTAAGTTATCATCTCTGGGGTGGAAATTTCTGAATATTAGAGTTTTCTTCTCTTTGTATTTCATTAATTTTGTACAACGAATAAGATTTCATTTTATAATCAGTAAAAAAGTATTAAAATGTTAGGCCTGTATAGGCTTGAATAATCTTGAGAAATGGGAAAAGGAAATAGCATTATGGAAACTTTTTTTTTGTTTAACTTTTTCCATTTTTCCTCCCTCCCTTCTAGTTTGTCAATTTCTTCTGGATAGAGAAAGAGTTCTTCTTTCTCTATCCAATTAAAAAAAATATGCTGGATTCCTGAATTCTTTTTTAAAAATTGAATGTTATAACCTATTACTACCACACATATTTTAAGAAATTCTACCTTAATATATTTATATTCCCCTTGAACTAATAGGACCTTAAGATACTTTAGTGCTAGCAAGTATCAATCAACTCACTAGCCATTATCATCCAGAATATTAGTTCAATCTTGTCTTCTTTAACCCCATAAATTTTAAGCTAACAAGATTTTATGTTGCCATTTACCCAAGTGTTTCCCATTGTCTTTGTACACCATTCCTTTTTTATCTTAAATTTTCCATCTTTGAGTTCTTCCTTCCTGGAGTATATCCTTTACCAAGAATCTGCTGGTAATAAACCCTACTTTGGTTTGCATGGAAACCTCTTTATTTTGCTTTCATTCTTTCAAGATGGCATGGGTAGCATTCACATAAAGATCTTTGGTCCTCTAATAGTTCAGTTGTAGTGAAGTTACAAGATAATTTAGATGGAAAATATTTGGTGAACAGCAGAAAAAAAGCATATAAACTTTTTATTATTTGAAATTCTCATTCTTAGTTCTGGTATATTCATACCATTAAAATTAGGATATAAATCACATTTAACCAGTTGATTTTCTAAGCCTTGCTAGATTCAGGCAGAAATGTTGGCGACAGGGATTGAAAGGAGCGAAGTTTCTGAACACTTCCCACGGAACATCAGCATCAGTAGTTCCTACTATCCTCGTAGGACATGTAGCCAGGACTCTGGCTGTGGTCTAGAACTAAGGTCCCTGCAGTTGGTGACTCAGGTAACCCATTCCGCATCAGTGGAAAAATCTGCCACTTAAAAAAACAGAACAAAACACCTTAGTGCTACTTTTTCATTTTGTATAGGAGTTAGGGAACTTGCCAACTTGTGAAGCTTTAATATACAATAATTAGAGGTGGTCAAAATCACACCATTTACTAAAGAAAGCAGTTCAATGCTTCCTTAAAAATATTGAGCTCTTCTGTCTTCCAGTTTAAGTAACTGTATCTTCAGCTGGATGAATGCTGTTATTGAACTAATGTAAGGGTTGGCTTGTTACTGGGAATTTTCAGAGATGTTTTATTCCCTTTACCCAGAGCCAAGACCACACAGGCAAGATTCCTTAGGGGCGTTTTCTGCCATGCAATTTTTTAGGGGAAGTTCACCTTTTCATTATGGTTATTGCTGTTTGGGGTTTTAGTCTTATTTAGGTGTTTCAGTTTGACTTCCCACCTTGGGTGGTCCCAGGGATTTGTCTGCTGTCTGCCTTGAAAAGAATCTGTCTGCCAATGCAGGAGATACTGGTTTGATCCCTGGGTTGGGAAAATACCCTGAAGGAGGAAATAACAGCCCACTCCAGTATTCTTGCTGGGATAATCCCATGGACAGAGGAGCCTGGGGGGCTATACAAACACTACCTTGTGTGAAGTATCCTGATAAAGCTACAGGCTACCTCATCAGAGATCAGTAGATGTACCCAGGACAGACTTTAGTTTCTGTCATCTCAGTTTCTTGCCAGCTGAGCTATATATTTAAAGAGTTGTTTTTAGAGGGCTCTGCATCTTTAGGAATTTAGTACAAAGATTTCTTACTCTGCCATATTTTCTCCCACTGAAGGCCATTCCTTCCTATCTTTCCACTTCAAACTTCCCAAGAGCTCCCTTTCAGTGAGTGTACTGTGTCGTTCTCAAGTGGCTCTAAGTGGATGCAGGGAGTCATTTCTAGTGAGTTCTGCCCCAAAAGAGCTGTCATCAAAGAAAGCCTAAACTTCTCCACATAGTTTTATTTGCACCCAGTGAAGTACTGTTATCAGATGCTGAACCTTAGCAGACATCAGCATAACTTGAACCCAAATTATTTGAGGATAAATGGATTATTGGCTTTTGTGTATTTCAGATTTGGCGCAAATACGATGCTGACAGCAGTGGCTTTATATCAGCTGCTGAACTTTGTGTAAGTGTTGCGGGGAGCTGTCCCTGGGCGAGCGGCGGGTTAGCTCACTCCTGGGAATTTGATATGTGTGTATCATGAGCTTGATTTCTGTGTTCCCAAGAAACATGGATATGAATTTGCTAATTTTAAAAAAGTGATTCGTGTTTAGAAGGTTTAGAAACTGTAGGTGACACTGATTGCTCTCTCTGGGAAAGACATAATTGAGGATTTATGACACCTTTTTATGCTTTGAACTGTTCCCTGGGTTCTGTTTAAACAGTGCTCCCTTCAAACTGTGACAGCCCTGCATTTTGGACTTCTTGCTTGATAAAAAGCATCACATTTCTTCCCTAAAACAAGCAAATGACAATCCTTCAAAAACAGCCTCAAGACTTCTAGGTTTATTTGTCACTAGATAAAATACGGCTTTTCTCTTGATCTTACAGAACTTCCTCCGAGACCTCTTCCTCCACCACAAAAAGGCCATTTCAGAGGCTAAGCTGGAAGAATATACTGGCACCATGGTGAGTAACTGAGCAATGCGATCTCTATGAAGACAGTCTCCCTACCATCTCCCCAGGGCCCAGAAACAGCATTTGGCACAGAATTAAGGGCTCTGTGAGTGTTTGCAGACTAGACAAATGCATGAAAAGACCTTCAACTCTGGGAAACAGTGATTGAATTTGAGCTACTTTACTCTCTCTCTTGGGATGAGAATGCATACATTTGAAAGAGAGCTGCTCACCTATCCTTAGGGAGACCTGGAAAGTCCAGTTAACATCAGGTTACTAAGCACCAGTCAGTAATCTCAAGTTATTGAGGTTAATACAAGTCACATAGAAACAAGGAAATGTGGACCTAGACAACCAGGACCAAACACATGGGAGCCCCCCCACTCCCTCCGCCCCTCCTCCCCCCAATGGATGATTCTACTCATTTAGCACATTCATTTTGGGCAATGGAGAGTCAGAAAGCTGGGAAATACATATTTCGCCTTTGCCAACTATAGGTATGACCTTGAGAAATGGTCTATTGTTGTTTACTTCAGCTGAAAAATGGGGATTAATAATACCTAATTGCTGCAAGGGCAAGTGAGTGGATGCATATGAAGTGCTTTGCAGAGCATCCAGGAAATAATCAACATTCAATACGTGTTAGCTCTTCCTGTAGCGGTGGTTGTAGTCCTTGTCATATTTCCTTTGGCCACTTGTGCAATCATATCCTAAATGACCTCAGATTATTTTAGCATCAAAGTTCCCTGGAAAATGGTGAAGGAGGAGAAGGTGCCTTTGGCGAATTCATTCTCACATTCTCATTCAGCTCCTAGCTTGAAGTTTTTCTCTCAGGGCTACTCTGTAATAATCTGTACTGAAACTAATCTGGCTTCTCGACCTTTTGTCTCCCCTAAGTCCCTTCCCATCCCCAAATGTCTGTTTCATTTCAACCAAACTCTGTAGGTTTCTTAATTAATAAGCAAGAAAACTACTGGTAAAGGTTTAATTGCTTGTGTAATTGCTACACTTACTATAGAGAGAGTTCTTAAACACACTCATCTTACTGAACCTTTTGGTGAATCATCAGGGCTGCATATCACAGAGAAGAGTAACGGATCCCTGTTAAAATGTGTACTACAAGGTTGACCTGTTTAGGCCTTTAATTGATGCTTCCAAATACTGTATTATTTCTAACAACTCTTCTATAGCCTTGGCATTGTTCCTGCTATTCTGTATATCTGATGGTTGAGGCTTAGAAAGGGTAAGTGACTAAGCTACCACCAAGTTGATTTCCTAAACTCCTTCCAAAAATCTGATTAACTGGGAAATGATAAACTGTCTAGCCTAAGGCACCAGTTAAACTGGAAGTTGGGCTGCCTGGCTTTCAGCCCTGGATCTTCTGGCTCTCGCTCTGTATTCCGACTACTCTGAATGCTGTCCTCAGCCAAAGGCACAGGCCCTGGGAAGGAAGAATGTGGTCTTGACCATGACAACTTAGAAATGGCCTGGATGGGAGCTAAGCCGATCCTCAGGACAGACTCACACCCCAGACAAGGAAATAATTTGGCTTCCTATTATGTTGACCTGTTTTAATAACATGCATAATACTGTTTGAAGTCCTTTGACAGGTTTAGCACTAAAGAGTGAGTGGGAAATCCCTGAGAAGCAGGAAGCAATTTCCCACCTACCGGTGTATCTCTGGTTTCCTTTTGTCCTAGGTTCCTGTGAAACTTTCTAATAGCATGAATACTCTGAAAAAGGAAATTAGACTGAAACTGCCTGGGAGAGAGAATAATAAGGAGATTACTCTTCCAGTTGGGCATTTTTTTTCAACACTGATTTAACATTATGTTAACTCTGGCTGTTGTTACCTTGATTTTATTAACTTATAAAGCAGACCTTAGGCAGTGAAATGCTTGCACTAAGAATCCCCAGGAGATTTCTAGTATTTATTTGAATACCTTCAACTCTGAGGGGCTTCCTCCCACCTCCAACTAGAATACTAAGCCACTACTTTCTGACTTTTAAACATAGCTCAGCTATTTTTTCCTTACTTTTCTCCACCTGGTTCTTGCTCATCCTTCAAGACTTAGAAATCATCTTGCTCTCTTCCATCATCTTCTTCTATAGAGGTTCCAAGTGCCTCTCCTCTGTGCTCCTATAGTATCTTGTGTATTTCAATGTCTTAACATCATAGTCATCTATTTAATTCACTTTGCAAATATTCATTGAATACCTGCTATGCCTCCGGCACTATTCTAGTCAGCAAGGATTCAGCAGTGAGCAAAACAGAGACTGACACTAATGATAAACATAATAAATAATAAATTACATTGCATGATAGAAGGTAATGAGTGTCATGGAAAAAATTAAACGGTAGACCAGATAGTGCCAGCAGGGCAGCTAGGATGGAAGATTGGGGAGAAGGTGTGATCTTCAACAGGGTGGTCAGGGTGGCCTTTCAAGATGATGCACTTTGAGGAAGGACCAAAGGTACAGCAAGCAGGGCCCCTGGGTCAGGGGTGTGCCCAGGATTTCTAGGAACAGGAGACCACCAGTGTGGCTGGAGCAGAGTAAGTAAGGATGACACAGAGGCCAGACCAAGTCAGGCTTTGGGGACCCTTGTGAGAACTTGGGGGTTTAGTTGGAGGGAGATGGAAGGTTTGAAGGAGAGAATGCCATGAGCTGGCTTTTGTGTTGAAAAGCACCTGAAACAGGCAAGGAGGGAATCAGAAGGATCTGTTAAGAGGCTACTCCTTCATCCAGGTGAAAGGATGGCAGCTTGGATCAGGGCTGGGAAACAGAAGAGATGAGAACCAGATCTGTCTGAAGATGGAATCAGTAGGATTTCCTGATGAAATAGCTAAGAATCAAGGGCGACGCTGACACTGTTCATGGATCTTGCACTCCACTAGCTGTGATTCATCTGGGGCAGGGTGGCATCTTATCTGCGTGTTCTTAGCCCTCACACGGAGCCTGGGACACAGTGGGCTCCCTAATGAATTCTGTTATTACCTAATAGACAGCTAGGAATAAACCCTGACAATATCAGTAAACTTTGCCCTTGGGATCCTCCTGCTTCTCTTATGTGTGTTCCTCATGACCCTCCAGCCCCAGCGTGATTCCTGCTCCCTCTTGGGGTGTCTTCCATACTACATACTGCTCATGGCAGCATTTTGCACAGACCTGACGTTCCTCCAGCAGTGTTTCACGTTCTGAAATTCTCCTTGTTCTCTGTTTTAAAACCAGACCTTCCAGGGCAGAACCAGAAAGGGTGCCTGGGAGTGCTGGGCTCCATCCTCGGGTGTCTCACTGGGATCCTTCATCAGAGAGTCATCCAGAGGGACCCCAGCCAGAGAGGGGTATGAGCCACGCTGAGCGCAGTGTGTGGAGACAGACAGGGAGATGGGAGCCCCATGCTGAAGACGGCAGGCAGGAGCCATGGGAGTAAGGGCTAGAGCTGGAGGCAGCTGAGAAGACCGAGCAGAGCGAATCCAGAAACGACAATCGGAGCAGGACAAGCCTAGATCTGTCCTCATGGACTCGGGAGTCACGTCACTGTGCTCCTTTTCTTGAGTCTGAAGTGGTTTTTCGGGTCTGAGGGGTAGGGTCTCACAGTGACTGAGAATACCCACTCCCTCACCAAAACCCCCACTTTCTTAATGCTTTTCTCTCCAGTTAGAATGTGAGCTGGTAAACTAGTTCACACAAAGATGTGAATTCATTCCTTCAACGACTGTTTAGGGACAACCTACCAAGAAAGATACAGTCTCTGACCTTATAGTTTTCTCCAGTTGGGAGAAAATCTGATTAAAAGAGCAAAGGGAAAAAGAGCAAAAATTCACTCTGGTCCCTCCCTTCCATCCCTGCTGTGCATGTCACTGCAATACTGTATCTACCCGTAAGTAGCAGCCGAGTTCAATTTTCCCTTCAGTGCTTAAATACGTCGACGTCACCTTAAAATACAATTAAAATATTTTTAAAAAGTATTCCTGATTAAAATAAAACAAAAACAAGATGCATTACAATGAAGCAGCAATTCTAGAACTTTAGCAAAGGCAGGACGAGAAAAGTTAGGTGGTCAAAAGGGAAAGGCCGGGGGAGGGATAAATTGGGAATTTGGGATTAACAGACACACACCACTATATATAAAATAGATGAACAACAAGGACATACTCTATACCACATGAAACTATTTAATACCTTGTGACAACCTATAATGGCAAAGAATCTGAAAAAGAATATATATACACATACGTATGTATAGCTGAATCACTTAGCTGTATACCTGAAACACTGTAAATCGACTATTCTTCAATTCTTAAAAAAGAAAAGGTAGGTGAACAGAATGAAAGTTAAATTTTTAAAAGATGTTTTCTTAACATTCAGTACTTTATTTTCATTGAAACACTGCCAGTGTTTTCTGGTACTAAATATCTTAATCGTAATTATTGAGACTTCCTTTTGTGCTAGGCCCTGTGCAAAGCACTTTTCAAACATCTCATTTGATTCTTACAGGAACTTTATGAAACAAGTATTTAAATAAATAACCTATTTTATAAATTAAAAAACTGAGGATTATAGGTCAGAAATGATAAGGATGGAGCAGAAATTCCCAGACCCCAATCTATCTTCACACTGTATTCAAACTGAAACATTTATGACTGAAAGTCTAAGTGCTGAATTATAAAACTGAAAATTTTCAAGAGGGAGGGTTAAGCTCTATGAGAAATCAAGAGGTACAAATCCCTATAAATAAAGTGAAGAGCAAGGTGAGGAAAAGGCCATGTTAGGAGATTAGGATTCTCTTAATATTTTTATAGATAAGATAATACAGTAGCTCTGACAGCCAAAACAGAATTTATGACCCAGAAAAATTGATTTTTCTCCTCATGAAGGACCTAAACAATCCTGCGAACTGACATCTTATTAAACACCAAAGAGGAAATAAAGCAGTGAAAGACAATGGGGAACAAGAATGGGTTCTACAAAACTGTTCTGGAGAAGAGAGGAACACTGATTGATTAAAC